AGACACATTTTCCAAGGAAGAATACTTCTAACAAGGCACTAGTGGTTCTCACCTTTAATCCTAGCTACTAAAGAAGCTGAGCTCTAGAAGAGTACGGTTCAAAGTGAAGACAAGTCCACAAGACTTCGTCTTAGAAATAACCAGCAAAAAGCAGAGCCTGAGGCATGGCTTATGGGGTCCAGTGGCAGCTGGGCAAACAAGCCAAGCAAGCACAGATTCTGAGTTCAAGCCCCAATACTGGAAAACAAAAGCATCCCGCTCGGTGGTGAGCCATCAGAAAGCAAAGACTGTTCCTCCAGGACATGTTTTTTCTTTGAGAGTTTCTGAAGAATAGGTTTTGCCCACATGCGGGGCTACTTGGAGAAAGAGAAATCTTCAGAACATTCTGCCACTGGGTTGTGTGATGTGAGAAATGGAGACGTCAGGGCTCAAATCAGAGGCCATTTTTTTCCCCTTGGAGTAAGAACCTTGCTGAATTCTGGTGCTTTACAGGAGGCTACAGAGCTAGATGAAGGCTTAGAAAAAGCAGTCAAACTCCTACAGCCTCATAGTGATCAGAAAACCAGGGAGAAGGGCCGAAAGCTGGCAAGAGAGGAAGCCCAGAGGGAATGCTGAGCTGACAGAGAGGACTTGAAAGCCATTTCCCGCCCGGGGTTGTTCACACAGCCTCCCCTTAGCTAGAAGTCTGAATATCAAGGCTTTGCCGAGCAGAAGGGAGCACTCAGCAAACAGAAACCTCCTCAAAGGCTCTGGTTTGCATGGTTGTCACTGAAATGATGAATGGGGACCAAAGGGGACTTCATTTCCCTCTCAGCTGGTCTTGGTCTAAAGGCATAGCCTACGTTTTGAGGCTGTATGGGGCACAATGCTAGAGGAGCATCTCAAAGGCTCCAGAGCCTTCAGGGCTGGAGTGAAGTCCAGCCTATACTGTCTGACAGGTACATAGTACTAGAAGACCAATGAGTGTGTTTATTCAGACTGCCCATAACGAGTACTACAGATTAGGTATTTAAGTACCAGAGAGTCACAGGTCCAGAGTTAGAAGGTCCAAGGTCAAGACACTGTCAGGTGGGTTTCCTCCAAGACCTCTCCCTGGCTTGGAGATGATCACCTTCTTAACATAGTCTTTCTATTGTACGAGAGCTTCTAGATACCTCTTCTAATTCTAGTCCCATCCTGTTGACTGAAGGGCCTCTTTTAACTTAATTCCTTCATGGAAACTCCCATCTCTAAATAGTCACGTTTTTAGTTACGCATAGTATGGGCCCCAGCATAGGAACGTTGGGAAACAAATCATCTAAGTCCTCATCCAGTTCTAGCCCAGCTGTATTCTGTGTTAATCCCACAATCCTCTCCTACTCCACACACATTGGCATATATCACTGGGGACTTTGACAGCTGCCTAGCACTAGAAAACATTACTAAGTAACTTCCTAGCCAAAAAAGTCATGCAAAGAAATATTCATCTGTTCCCATCAACAATGTTGATTTAATTACCCTAGGATGTAGCTTATAAATTGACACTAAAATGAGTGGAAAGCCAACAACATCTACCACTTGATTCTGATGTGTTGTCCAAGCCGATGTTACACTTTGGATTTGGGGTGTTCTACAGGATATTAGGACCCCAGCTTCTTTTTGTCTCTCTTCACCTGCTTGCTGCCCTGAGAACAGGCCTGTCCGCCACTGTGATTGATGTACCACTAGGGGACCAAAGCAAAGGGCCAAACCACCAGTACCTGAAACCTGAAACTGTGACACAATTCATCTTTTGTACATGTGCATTGTCCCAGGCATTTTCTTTTGTATAGCAACAAGATGCTGCCAGTTAACAGCAACTCTTTCAGGATAGCACTTGTTTTTAAACAAAATTTGTTTTCGCAATGGCATTTGGTCTGCTTTGGTTGACTGACCTATGTACCAGGTGTGCGTCTGGGAAGCAGAGGTAAACAGTAATAATAACCCTCCAGCAAAGAGAATTGGGATCTGTTGATATTCGGAAGGCATCTTTTTCAGGAGTTTTCCAGTCATCCCGAGCTGGATGGTTGCTGTTTCTTTGGAGGCTAGGAATGGGACAGGAATGCGATTTCCATTTTGCCAGTCTTCTACAACCCCTGTTGTGTCTCACAGACAGATCTCTTTTTCCATTCACTGAACTAGCCTAGAATCTTTTTTTTGTGAACATACTGTACAGAGGGGTTACAATTACATGGGCAAGATAATGAGTACATTTCTTATCAAGCATTGTAGCCTCCTCCTTTGTTTACCCTTCCCATCCCTTCCCAGCCTCCCCTCCCACCCAATCCTGCCCCCCCCACCAAAGTTGCAAAGTTCATTTTCAACATGACAACTTGTACTTCTCATTGTTGTAATGGGTCCACAGTTATCCTTAAATGACTTGTTTTTCCCCTTCTCCACAATTTGTACTGACATCAAATATAGTGAAAGCAGGTAGCCTAGAATCTTTAGGCATGTGAGTTTACAATACCACCTCTACAAAACTGATTTGTGAGATTATAGGCTGGAAGCTAAATGTATTAAAGAAAAAACTCTAAATGTACTTTCCTGAGATATTTTACCTAAAAATTTCCTACTGAATAGGTAGGTGATCTTTCCAGAGTTACCCTGATTTCTTTTATCTCTAAGATTCTATGGTCTAACTCACTTAGGTTTGCTTATGTATCATAAAATTAAAATTATAAGACCATTATCTAAGACTTGCTGATAAGTTTTGGACAATTCACGCGCCTTAGCAATCATTCTTTTTTTGCCTTCTGCCTTGTCACATTCTTGCCTGTGGTTCAAAGAACAGCAGCAACAATATCAAAACCCTTTGTCTTCTCTGCCTTTTATTTTTTGTGATCCTGAGTGATTATAACAATGGCTGAATCGTAACTAGGATAATATGTGCTACAACTGTACTCATACCAGCATTACATAACGTGAAAGAAAGTTCACTTTTCTTGGTTCTTCCTTTCCCTCTTTCTCCCCTTCAAATACATGCACAGAATATGGCAAACTAGTCCATAAATGCCTTTGAGTTTTCTCACATTCATGGCTTTGGAATAAGATCATCTTGTACATTTACTCAAATTTGTAAGGAATGATAAAAATTGATATAAATTTATTTTAATGGGCCATGTTTTAGTTGTCAATATTATTCATACTTTGTGCATCATTAATTATAAATGGTTACAAATAATCCAAATCAAATATTTTGTACAATTCTGTATATGCAGATTCTTATCTGTCTCTGTCATTTTATTCTTTATTTGTAAATTCAACTTATGTCTTTGGAAAGTATTATTTGGCAGTCACAGTTTTAAAATAATGTATATGCTCATGCATACGTGTAGGTGTGTTACATACACATGTATATTTACTATAGAGATCACTACCTATAGTCATATCTATCTATTATCTACCTGTCTAGATACAGAAATAGAGAGAGAAAATGTGTGTTTATATGCAACATATACATAGTCAACACACACACACACACACACACACACACACACACACACACACACACACACACACACACACACCACTATGGTCCACAGCAACCACAGCGAGCCAGCTGATGGCTCTTAGATAATGAGATGAACGATCCAATGGGCCCCAAGAACCTTATTGCAGCTACTTTGCTGTAGCCAGTGAGTGCTCTCAGGCAATTCTGAGTTCAGGGTGCTCTATAAACTAGCATAGTTTCTCTGGTGGGATCTCTCCTGTCATCTATTTTGGGGTCTGATGAACAATTTGGAGCCCTGAGGACTGACAAAATGTGCAAGAAGTAGTGTGGGGTCTGCCATAAACTAAGAAATGAAGGAGGAGGGTTAAGCTGGAAGTGCAAAGGCATTATTTTCTTTAAACCATGATTTGTGACTGTTTTTCAAGAAAATGGAAGATGTGTTAAGGATGAATGAGCCATTAGGAAGGCTTTGAGTGTCGTTTAGGTAGGAATCGTTTCTTTCTGAGATCCTTAACCTGGTGCTCTCAGGAGCCCCACAACTCTTGCGGACTTTGTTAAAATGACCCTTGAATGCTTGATCCATCAAGTGCTTCTGGGGTGCTGCTTCCCTAGCCCCTGTACCTCCTGCTCACACTAAGACCAGTGTTGCTTGCACACTGCATTTAGCTGGCTTGTCTTATTTGCATTTCAAATGAACTCATGTTCATTGAAGTTTTGAGTTTACTCTGGTCCTTATCTTTTTCTTTTTTGAAGTGAGAAAGACAATTGTGATTTTTATTTCCGTTTGAAGCATCCTATTTTCTCTTGAGAGAACTAGACTCTCGTTCTACATTAGCCTTAGAAAATCAGAAGACAGGTTGGGGCATGTGTATTTGAATAGATGCCCCCAGGGTAGCTCTAACAGCTGTTTAGGATCCAGACTTACCAGTCCGTTGGAAATCCATGTTTACTTATTGTCCAAGGAGAGGATTTTTTTTTTTTTTACTTAGAGTGATTATATGAAAGGCTTCCCAGGTGGCTGATTGTTTGACATTTACTCCTCCCCCAAATCAAAATTACTTTTCAAATGAATGCAGATGCTGAGGACTTATTCTTCAGTCCAGAATTTTCCTGTGAGGGGGGAAGATATGTGGGTTTTGGAGTTCATTTGGGGAATACTTGTTAAGCCTGCATGGGATTATGTCCTCTACCCGAAGGCTGTCATTGGATGGTGGTTCATTTTAGAAGAGATGAAAGGTGATTGATTAGCCTAAATGCTAGAGATCTCTGTATTCAACAAGAATGTGATGTGTGAGAATCCTAAACAGCCCAGTCTACTTATGAAAATCAGGAAGTTTGAAGACCACATAAAAGGGCAGTTTTATTGTGCTGGCATGGGTGCTGACAGAGCCAGCGCCTTTGTTAATGATTAACCATAAGAGTCTGAATTGGCAGGATAGGAAGAGAATCGAAGTCTACCACCCATATGAAGCTTCTGCTCTCCTTTCTACTAAAATCCTATAGAAGATGTTTGTTTTCTTTTCCATAGGTTCGAACCAGTGTCCAACCTGAGCACAAGGATCCCCCACCAGAAGTTGGGGTAAGAATTTTGTCTTTAAAAAGAAAATAGGCACCCACATTGCTCTTTGAAGTTCATCGTTTGGATGGTGTCTGGCTTCCTGACTCCTTGATCGCTGACAAATACAACTGAGTTAAATTAGCAGGCACCGTCACTGTCATGCCGAAGGCTGGCTTTGAATCTCGATTCTCATATCTCAGCCTCCTGAGTAGTCAGGATTATAGATGTGAGGCCCTGATGCCCACTTCCAAGCTGTTTCTTGATGAATTAGTCAAGTTGCTACCAATTGTATTCTTTTGAAATGTATTCATAGTTAAGATGTAATTCTACAGTAAATGACTACCATAAAGAACTTGTTGATTTGTTGAGGATTATTTATCAACTTCTAATACATTTCCTTCCATTTTTTTCCTTTCTGGTATCCTTTATTTAATGTTAATAGTCTTTGTATTCTTTTTCCCTTATTATGGGATGGAAAACCATGAAAACTCACATCTGTTATGTATAAGAGTGAAGAAAGTATACCTAGAAAAGGCCTATCTGATAAGTTATATGTGTATACACTGTATATCAGACTTATGATATCCACTTTGGCTCTTCAAAGCATATATCTCATATATATATATATATATGTATATGTATATATATATAGAGAGAGAGAGAGGGAGAATTTTATAGGAATAGGTCAGGCATTGCTGATATATTTATTTAACTTTTAAACTATCAGTAACTAATAGAAATAGAATATAGCACAAAGGGCATGCTTCATAAATAATTATAAATGTTCTAGTAACCATGTTTATAAAGAATAAATTAAAATTATATTATGATTAAAATTATATTAACCAGTTTACTAAAAGGACAATTATTTTTAAAAACAATGTATTTTTCTTCTTATCTGTTTTTAAATTGTATTTGTATTATCTTTCAGTACTTATATTAAGGGATTACATGAGTACAATGTATCTTGATCAATATCACCCCTTTCTTTAAGTTACTTTTAATGTATTTTATTTAACATAAGGTATTTTCATCTGAAAATGCAATCAATACAAAATTATGTGCTGTGTCACATGTTCCTTTATTCGTGCTAAGTCTTCTAAATTCAGTGGGTATTTATACTTGGAGAATATCTCCACTGAAGTAGTCCCATTTTAGGGGTTAAGGCTAAATGATTTTTCCTTCTGGTAGCCTGGCTCTGGACAGGAGTTGGAAATATTGTGGAGGAGCTTGCAAATTATAGTGTATAGAAGGCCTCCACCTAAGTCAATGCCTTGTGAGATCAACGAGAGCACTGGAGGGACTCTGTGACTTGGGTCTAGTCCTTGATGAGGGCGGGATAGGCTGATTATCCGTATACTCCATAAATAGGGAGAGACGACACACTCGCTTCCTGGCTGTTACTCTGCACTGGGCGATTGAAATCATGTATCAGTGCTTATCTGCTTTGGGGTCTGTGCGCCAGTACAATAATTCTGAGTGTTGGATTGTCATGACCAGGAAAAACCAAGAGGCCAGAGCCTTGTTTGGAGTAGACAGGGAGCGTGTCAGAAGGAGAGAAAGAATTGCCACCTACCCTGTGAGTGAGGCACAGGCAGAGAGGCTAGAGGTTCTGAGTCAGCCTCTCTGCTTGTTAATAGTTCTGTGCCTATGTGAAAACTAGTTTCCTCTCATGGGCTCCAGCTCCTTCCCCGGCACCCATGTGATGCCCTAACAAGCCACAACATCCTGTAGACACTCCACAAATCTGAGCTTGCAGAAATGCTTTCTCAGTAATCACCGAGGACCTGAAGTTTTATATCTTGCATTTTTTTAAATCTAGAATGCCTTCCTAACTATATTTTCTCTGAGTCTAATTTTTTATTTCTACTCATGTATTTTTCTTTCTGCATTGCAGACCTTTTTTTTCCTAGATATTTTCCTCTTCTTTTGGGTCAACGTCTGCCTTTTGCGGGGAATTTAAGTTGGACAGAAGACACTTGTAAAGCATCTTCCGTGGGGTGTCCTATCTCAATTACTTTGCATCCTAAGACTGATTATCTCTTTCCTGTTATTTTTGGGGAGTATACTAAGTGCTTTTTCTAGGCTTCTTGATTTCTCAAGATAAAGTTATCCATTATCCTGCCCATGCAATTGTAACCCCTCTGTACAGTATGTTCACAAATAAAATAAAATAAAATAAAAAAGATAAAGTTATCATGAGAACATAGTCCCAGAGTTGGGGTAACTTGTACAGGACCACAGACCATTGGGAATGACAAAGAAATGACAGCTTCAATGCTGGCCAGTCAATAACGAGGCAAGAGTCAGGAAAATCTCCCAGATTATCACTTGTGGGTAGAATAACTAATTCAGGGCCATACTTTAAACGTCTGAGCTCTAACTTCAATGAAGCTTTGTGTTTTATGTCTTTATTCTTCCCCTGATAGAAACAGCATCAAAGTAGACACAGGAAAGGCTGTCCCTTTAATTATATTTGAAACATAATATTTTTTAAAGTTTCTCTTAAAATCCATGATTACAACCACAGGGGGAGCAAAGATAAAAATAGCTCTGGGTTGCAATTCTCCTCCATTAGCAATAAGTACCATTTTTTTCCCCTCTCTGGGAACTCAGAGCTGAGAAACAAAGAAGATTCCATTCTTTTACAGTTGTCAGCCTTTTGTCAGCCAAGGGCCATACAGATATTTATAGCCTTTGTAAGTCATATCGTGCTGTCAATAGAAGAGCTGGAGGCGTGGCTCAGGAGTATTGCACTAGCCCAGCAAGCACAAGGCCGTGAGTTCAAACCCCCAGTACAAACAGACAGCCCTGCTGACAGAGCATGAGTGGCACATGTGTGTGCTTTTGTGCACCCAGTGGTGTGTGGGCCTTAGTTGGCCCAGTGGCCAGACACGCCACACTCCTGATGGATGATTTGTTTTCTAACTGGAGGGTTCCAGTGTTCTTGATATTAATGTGAAGCAAACTTAATGCCAAGGGAAAGGTGTAGAAAGTTTTCTTGCTGGGTGTTGTGGTGTGAAACTGATCTATTGTGAGAATGTGGAGCTGCTGTTCCTGTGTTTAGCCTGGAACCCCCAATACCATTATTTTACTTTTAGAATAACTAGGCGAATGCCTGCATCCAGCACTGCCTCTGACTTGACAGCGTTTCATAGTGAGGTTCATATGATCTCAGATCACAGTTAGCATGACTGGTTTTCCTCAGCTGGATTGGGTTGGAAGGCCTGGGTATGCACACACACTGTCCGTGTGGGGCTGGCAGCGGCGGTGACAGCGTTGGTGACAGTGGTCCTGGTCCCTTCCCACTCTGTGCTCTCCCTGGGCAGATGGAAAGGCCAAGGCCCAGCTTCCTGGGGAGCCCCTGGCCCGGTGGATGGGACACGCGTTCGGTGGCTCTGGCCATCAGTTTTGCTCACAGCTAGTGGTGCCATATGGCCCGTCTGGAGCTTGTCTAATTATAGCCCTCCCGCCCAGCCTTGCTGAGCGGGAGGAGTTGGGCTGAAAAGGGCCACCTCAAAACGGTGACACACGCAGGCTCCTCATCCCTACCTAGAAAACGCCAAAATAGACAGATTTAGAAATAGAAAATAATTAGGAATTGGAGGGCCTCATAAAATGTATTTTATTTGTTATTTTTGTAATGATTCAGGATTTATTCAATTTGAATTTCTTTTTATAAGTTTTTTTATTATGAAAATACTGTTCAGAAGGGTTACAGTTACATGAGCAAGATAATGAGTACATTTCGAATCAAGCATTGTGGCCTCCTCTTTTGTTTTTCCCCTACCATCCCTTCCCTCCCACCTCCTCAACTACACTCATCCCTCTCCCCTACTGTAAAGTTCGTTATTCAACATAGCCTCTTGTACATCTCATTGTTGCAATGCGTCAACCTGCATCCCTATTTAAACATTTTGTTTTTTCTCTTTCCCTCCCCAAATTAGACTGACATCAAATACAGTGAAAACAGGGGTAATACCATGGGGAGGAACATACAAAGCAACAAAATAATCACATGGTACCTTATAAATATGTTAGGAACAATAGCAAGAAGGAAAAAACCACTTGTGTCCCTATCTTGAGGTTCATTTCGCTTAACTTCATCTCATCTGGTCATATGTACATAGCTTTTGACCTTTTCTACTTATCCCAGACATTATTGCAAATAAGGGAAGCCATGAGACCTATGTTTCTTTGAGCCTGGCTTACTTCACTTAATATAATTTTTTCCAAGTCTTTTCATTTCCTAACAAGTGGGGCAATGTCATTCTTTCTTTTATTGTTGTTGATCAGGGGGTTTGAGCTCTGGTTACTATCCATGAGCTCATTCTTTCAAGGTTAGTGCTCTACCACTTTGAGTCACAGCACCACCTCCAGTTTTCTGGTGGTTAATTGGAGATAAGAATCTCACAGACTTTCTTGTCTGGGCTGGCTTTGAACCAGGATCTTCAGATCTCTGCTTCCTGAGTAGCTATGATTACAGGCATGAGTCACCAGCACCTGTCTAGCAGCATAAAATTTATAATGTGTTAAGAGTTTTTGAGTACAGTGAAAGAGAAGCAGGCATTTAAATTAAAACCCTTGATTATCAGTGAAAGAGAAAGGGAATGATGCATCTATAAATGACAAAATGCTGGAAGTATACTATAATAGGAATGGAAAGACTTGGGAAAAATTATACTAAGTAAAATGAGCCAGACCTAAAGAAAGATAGGCTGCATGGTTTCTCTGATTTGTATTAACTAGAATGTGCTGTAAATCTACAAGTAAACCCAATGGACAGTAAAAGACAAATAATTACACCTGGACATGATTAATGAAGCATAAACTGCAAACTAAACATTCACAAGTGAGAATAAAGGAGGATATTCTTAGGAAAGGATCTCAAAGGCTCAGTAGCTATGTTCAGATGATCATATAACATGATACTTATTGAAATGAACTCCAAGAAATGGCAGAGGTTTTTTATTATACTGTTTGTGATTCTTTTTCCCTTTCTTTTCTTCTTTCCTTTTTTCTTTGATTTATTCCCTTCTTTGCTGTTTTTATTTCTGTACTCTTTGTCTTGTGTATAAGTTTATCTGGTTTCGGGAGGGGAGAGGGAAACAGAAATGGTGGGACAAGGGGTGAACCGATTCAACAGTGAAAGCCACTAGACACTATGTTGGAAATTAACTATACAATCTGGAGGGAGGGAAGTCAACCGGGGAAAAACAGAGAGAAGGAGGGAGGGGTGACCCTGTTCAAAAGGAAATGTAGTCATTACCTGAACCATGTAATTGTAACCCCTCTGTACATCACCTTTACAATAAACATTTCAAAAAAAGTACATAATATATATGCTATAAAATTATTTTGATTTGTTCCCATTTCAATGGGCTGCAGTGATTTGTAAGTTGCATACAGAGTATTTCTTCTGCATCTGTTAAATATAACTTTCTTGAACGCTTTGCTGTGCCATTCATTTATTATTGGGCAGGGAATGTTTTTCACATGCCCACTCTTGTTCTGGGCAGGAAAGTTTATCAGAAAGTAAAATAAAGCTTATTTTAGATCTCCAAATCACCATTATTTGTGAGGTGTAAACATAAGCAATTAAATATAAAATATTGGATGATGGTAGGGAATGAGGAGGTGGTTAACTGGTCTGGTTCCTGAATGTCTGCTTGGCTCTATAGTCCCTTGGTGAGGTCTGTCCATTTCTGCAGGTTTTGTTGGTGAAGCCCTACCTTTACTCTTCTGCCTTGCTCCAGTCATTGCCTCACTCCTAGAAACCTCTTCTTTCCCTCATCTTTTTCATCTCATAAGAGAATCTCAGATTCCCTGAGCTTTATTTAAGTTGGTGTCTCAACTAGCATTTAGTTCCAAACAAATTCATCAGGGTTGCCATTCTTAAATATTAGACACTTCCCATTTAAGAGCTGAATGTGTTCCCAAATGTTTGCATTTTTGCCTTCCTGAAGTAGCTCTTTGAAGGTATGGGCTTGAAAATTGAAATGCATGCAATTTCTGACTGAGTCCTTGTGTAGCTATGTTTAACAAATGCTATGTTAACGAAGTGTTAAAAACAAAATCCAGTTGTGCTGAGTGCCCATGCAATACTAGGGCCTGTCATCCTAGCTACTCAGGAGGCTGAGATCTGAGGATCACAATTCAAAGCCAGCCTGAGCAGGAAGGTCCAGAAGACTCTTATCTCCAATGAATCACCAAAAAAGCCAGAAGTGGAGCTGTGGTTCAGAGTGGCAGAGCTCTCTAACCTTAAGCAGAAGAAGCTCAGAGACAGCATCCAGGACCTGAGTTCAAACCCCAGGTCCAGGAACAAACAAATAAAACATGCCATTGCTCTCAGACCCTTGAATTCAGTTTCTCCCACAAGTGAAGTCTGGCAGTAATCCTATGATGAGAGAAAGTCAGTACAATAACCTTGACTTTTGTAGAATATCACATGCCGAGACAGCAGACGCATAGGTAATGATAACGGATGGGTAATGCTAGGGGTTTTTTTTGGACCTTGATCAATATTGTTTATGTTATTTATATAATAATAGCCAGGAATAGTAAAAAGAGATGGAAGTTCTTATCTTGAGATAGAAAAAAATAACAGTTTTCTTCTTTACATTGACTGCAAGACTAGAAAACATAAGTGATTTGATACCCAGTATACTAAAAAGCAATTTCAGAAAGGATAACGGAAGAAGCACCTTTTACTTGTGTGTAGGGGACTGAATTTGTCTCATGCTATTTACTACAGCAATAGCTAAGGAAACAAATGCTTTTGAATGTTTCTGTGATGGAGGAGAAATATAGCCTTTCTATTTATATCTTGTCCAGTGTCCCACATAAAAATAGCTCCAAGTAACAGATTTGTTCATATCTGGAGTATAAACTTGTTGCACTCAGTAATTTGAAGAAGACTCAAAGAACAACAGCATTGGTAAATACTGAAGTTCATCAGCTCTTCTTTCACTATAGTTTTCTTTTGGAGAGAAGCATATGACTAGTGGAAAAGTCCTACCTGGCATCTTTAGCATGTAGTTATTTTCCAGGCTAGGAATCTCTTTGTTTTTGAACAGAAATGGTACACTTATTCACCCTTCTTCCCTCACCCCCTGAGGTGGATAGATACTATTAATAATTGTATTTCTGTCAGTGAAGTATTTATCAGGCTAACAGATTCTGTATGTTATTTGTCTAAAGACTAAGGCTGTGTGATTGGTGCGACAACAAAAATATTAAGGACCTCAGAAGTTAATAGAAGGCATTTTTTTCTTTCTGATTTTCAGAGAAGTTTCTTGGGTTCTACCGTCTTTCAAGTCGGGGAGTTACTGAAGTCAAAGGAGCAGCTGCTGACCCTGGGTCTGAGGTGAGTCCTTCCTTGGAGGAGCACTGTTCAAGTGTGGAGCCTGTGATGTGCAGGCTTCATTTCAGGGTCAGAGGTCTCCCAGGGGTTAGATGTCAGCTCTCAGATAGCCTGTGACTTTGTGCAACAAGTTATTATGAACTAGCAATAATCCAGGTTCACACCAGGTTCATGGTACAGGTTGGGAAAGGTTATTCGCTATCATTACACTATCATTAAGATGATGAAATTCTTTCAAAAAGGTACACCTAAATTATGATGGCATTACCTCATTATATTCGCACCAAAAGTTATTTTTTAAGTCTGTTTGAAATGTGCTTGTTAGAGGCAGTATTGTAGCTTTATCGTAGTAGAGAGTAAACTGGGATTGTTTTCGTTCATTTTGTTGCTATGCTATTCAACCTAAAACACTGAGCATTTAGAATAGATTCATTAAAATGGACAGTAGATTATAGCTAATTCTGAGTATGAGCACAATTATTTTGATATCAAGGTTGAGATATCAAGATAATAACATTGCTTAGGAAATCGTTGAGTACTTTTAATACTAAGAACATTTTAATATTAAGAGTATATTAATACTGAGAACACTTCAGACTACTAAGATGAGTATTAAGGAAGATGAGTATTAAGGAGAATTTTAAAATTCTTTTAAAATTTACAGCATATTTAAAAATTTTATAACTTTTATAATTAAGTACACATAAAGAATACCGCCCTAGAGTTCAAGTGGATAAAAAAAATGTTTAGGGCATTATTTGTAAATCTGAAGAGGCTCTTGCTGTGAAGGAACATGGGGGCTCTTTGGGGCACTAGAAAGCGTCTTGCTTGACTCTGTCCCCCACAAACAACCTTTGCAACTAGCAATTAATTCATCAAATCTATTCATTTTCATTGCACTTACTTTATCATATGACAAGTTTCTATGGTTTATGTTGGACTGTATTCTTCTACATTCTCCTCTTTTTCTCTCTGTATTTCTGCATGGTGGTTGGATAGTATTGCAGTATTGTAATATGCAAGCAGATCAATGAGTGTTGTGGATCCTAATAAGGCTGCTCCCTTGTTTCTAACTTCCTTTAGGTCTGAGCTCTTCAACATTTTGTAGTGCTATGGTTTATTTGAGGAAACATAAAAATCTTTATGGTTTGCAGATGTTACTCCCAATACATTTTCTACTGTTATTTTTTCAATTAAAAGTGTCAGATGACCAGCTGAAAAATACTAGCTGTTCATGTCACTGATACCATGCCCAGATACCATCATCCTCGCACATCCGTTGGAACTGACCTTCAGATCCCAGGATGTGTGATAGAAGATATCAAACACAGATCTAACGGAGAACTGCTAACGGCTTGCGTGCGTTCTCCAGCATGTGTGCCCACTGTCCCCTTCTTCATCCTGAGTCACCAGCATTAACACCAGAGGCAGGGACCTACCTGTAGGCTAGTCCTCCGAAGAGACCCTGCTGTGGAAAGGAAACCAGACACCAGAACATCCTAGTGAAATGAAAATGAGGCAGCCTAGTAACCTGAGAACGGAAGCCCAAGGGTTCATATTATATTTGGATTAAAAAAAAAGAAATACAAACATTTCACATTGAGTCAAAAGCACTACAGATTTCCACCTTTGATTTCAACACCCTGATTTGAGGTCATTTTGTCTTGATTGTGTAAAAGGATACAAGTTGAACAATCAAGGATTGTCTTCTTGAAAAACACTAATTTTAGGAGACGGATTTTGAAATGGCTGTGGTGTTATTTGCCCTTCAGTGCTCAGCTAACGTCCTTCAAGCCAGCCAGATTGTAAATGTATCATACTTTTTTTAAAAAAATTCTTGTACACGGTGTTGCCTTTTATTTCTGATATAATTTACCTTCGTTTTTTTTTTTTTTCCTTTGCTCTGTGTCTGAAGTGGTGAATTGTAGGAACACTAGGTCAGGAGTAAAAAAAAATTTTTTTTGTTTTATTTCTTAAACAGTCATATGTACTAATTATTTCTTTTATTCATTTAATATTCCAGTCATTATTTTTAAACCATAGAATTAAACTAAAAAGCAAGAGGCTGATTGTGGTTACTAGTTGAGGATGGTGAAGTTCCTTATCTGTGTGTTCAGTTCAAGCTTTGCAAATATGACATTTTGACCTGTGTCTGATGCTCTGTTAGGAACTTTTTTGGCTAGGTAATTCAGACTCCATTGCTCATTTTGTGTAATGCCATGATTTAATGTGCCTACTGTATTATATGTGTTTTTGAGTTCAGAGAGATCTGGAAATCAAGTGCCTTGGAATTGATTCTTTTTTCCTATAGAAAACCTTAAAAGGCAAGAGATGTATATTTACTCTTTAGAACCATGACATTAGCAGAACCTGAACAAGTAACGACAATTAAATACTGTACTCACTAAGTAGAATGTTAGAACGTTGTAATAATGCCTTTTGAGTTGATAAAAGAATGGAAAACTTGGATCTACTCCTGGGTATGGTGCTAGTAGTAGCCAGGGAAAAACCATGGTGTCCCTAAATACAAAGGCAAACAACAATAACAATTTAAAAGGTAAAACTTCTGCCCTACTAAATCCTCAGAGAGGCAGGTGGAAGTTGTATTGTGTGTCTCCTGGGAGCGTGAATTTCATTTGTTTTCATTCATTCATTCATTTAGCAAACATTAACTAAGAATTTTTCATATCCTAAGAACTGAGATAGGTTTTTTACAGAAGTTTTTAAATGTCAGCAGCAAAGTTAATATTTTTCCGTCGATATTAATATTTTTCAGTCGATATCATTAATAGTATGTTTGATGAATGATCTATTTATAGGTATCAATTAGCATGCAAAGGACCAAGAAGACATGCACTATCTTATCATTTAATCCTTGAGGCACTATCTATCTATCTATCATCTATCTATCTATCTATCTATCTATGACTGTACAAGTAAGATTAGATCTCAATTTAGTTTGAGTCCAGAACTTGTTGTGTATGTATTTTACTACCTTGTAGAAAACTCACAACCTAACAGAATCTTTTATCCTTTTCTGTTTTGTAGTCCACCCATGGGACAGCTTACATCCCTCAATATCTTAACACTTAAAACCAATTTTATGTGCCTACAACATGAAGCTTTAGTAATTATTTGTTGGGATTTTAATTTGCTGTGATGATTTCCTTATATTTTTATAGATGATTGGGATCCTTGCTTAGATCCTTAGATCTTTGATAGATCAGCTTCTATCCTTTCTTCTGGATGGATTCCAGCTAAGTTAGTAGAAAGGGTGCATTGTAAGCGTTGCAGTGTTTGTGAGATGAGCACAACAGTAGTGAACGACAGGGTATAAAGTGCTTGAAATGTTGAAGCCCTTGCGCAGCAATCAGCATCTATTCCAGTACAGCTACCATAGCTTGAACATTTACTCATCATGGAACTTTCTGCAGTATGCCTTACAAATGCTTTGTTATTTCTTCTGTAACTTTTACCTTTACAACATCCACTGACCCCAAACTAAGTGATCATTAATATCATCATAGTAGTAATGCATATGATATTATGATCACAAATTATATACCATATGATATTAAGGATAAAAAGATTTTTTTAAATTTGGATGTGCAACTATTTACTCATACAAAGAAAATTTGCTGTATTTTCACTTATTACTTTTGCCACTTTTGCAATCGTACTCTCTCATCAAACACAGTGAAACTCTAATGACCCAGTATGAACATATAGGATTGTGACTTATAATATACAAATGGATGAATAAAATGTATGAAGAAAATTGCTCAACCCCTGCTTATCTTTAAATCCTCCCTATCTGATGTATCAGTTGTGTGTACATATGCAAACATGTACACCCAATACATTAACTATGTCATAAAGTGGTTTCTTTGTGTGACTGTACTGGGTTTAAACTGGAGTGAGCCTAGGCTCCTTTAACTCACTAAAGGCCACACCTCCACTTCTGTCTGCTTGCTCGTTAATGGGAGATAAGGTTCAGTCAAATTTATTTGCTTGGGCTGGCTCTGTGCCTCAATGTTCAGATCTTAGCGTTTGGAATAGCTAGGAATAGGCTGAAGAGGATCATAGAATGTTTTGATGGATAAGTGTGTTATACATATATTAATTCAGGATTATTTTTCTTAAAAATCATGAATGCTTATTTTTACTGCTTCCAAGCATTTGTGCTTAGGGAAAGTAAGATCAAAATTGTAAGTTTCCAAGTTAGTTACACACACACACACACACACACACACACACGATCAAAACTTAAGTTCACTGTTTCTAAAAATACTAGAATAACAGCTAATGAAAAAGAAATAATATCCTTAGTGATAATTGCTGAAAATTATTGAAAGGCTGTAATACACTTCATCTGATAATAACTGTTAAACTTCCAGCAACGTGTTATAAAATTAAAAAATGCAAATTACACAAACAGGAGATTCAGACAGTAAAGACAGAGTGTATGATTTAGATGTGGTTTAGAGACATATCTAAGCCTGGATCCTGGTATACTAGCTGGATTTTGATAGGTCTGAGCCTATTATTGTTGTTATTATTATCATTATTATTTGTACTAGGGCTTATATTCAAGGCCCCATACTATTGCCTCTTATATTGTTGCTTAGCTTTTCTTCAAGGGTAGTGTTCTACCACCACTTCAGCCACACTTCCACTTCAGACTTTTTGCTGGTTAATTGGAGATGAGGTTCTCACAGACTTTCCAGGTAGGCACTGAACTTTGATTCTCAAATCGCAGCCTCCTGAGTACCTAGGATTACAGGTGTGAGCCACTGGTATCTGACATTTCCTTATTGACTCCCCTCTATTCCCTGATTTTCATTTTTCTTTTCTCTTTTCAAGTGGGTCTGAGAGGTACACTGACCACAGGCTATCTGAAATAGTATCCACCGGGAATCCAGTGTTCATCATATATTTTACTTATTGTTCATCATATATTTTACTTATTGTTATCCATATTATCTTCTATTTTGTTTCACTAG